ATTGTAATAGGATAAGGAAAAGTAATAGCAAATAAAATATTCTTTATTTTTGTTCAATTAGAAATTAAATTATATGAAAATATTTCTGAAGGAAAAGCCAATCAAGTTAAAAATTTTCTTCTGTTTTGTTTTTGTTATGATATAATCACGATAACTGATAAATTTTTTTAAAGAAAAATATAAATATTGTAAATTCTTAAACATTCTATTTTTTCTTGTTCTGTATGCTACAAGTCCTGAAGTAAAGAAAGTGAACCGACTCCTGAGATAAGACTTAAAGCAAAATCTAAGTGGCAGCTAGCAAGGGTATATAAAAAAAAAAAAATTAGATATACGAGGTAAGAAAGAAAAGAAAGGTGTATTTAACAATGTACAGTAAAATCTAAATAATAATTACAGAAATAAAATAAAAGAAAAAAACACAACACTCAATACATTAAACACATAAATTAAAAATTAAAAACTAAAATTAAATTCAATATTTCAAAACAAAACAAATAAAACCGTAACAAATTGGCTAACCAACGTGGGGCTCGAAAAAACGTGAGGCTCAAAAAAAAACGTGAGGCTCGAAAAAACGTGGAGCTCGAAAAAACGTGAGGCCCGAAAAAAAACGTGAGGCTCGAAAAAACGTGAGGCTCGAAAAAACGTGAGGCTCGAAAAAACGTGAGGGCTCGAAAAAACGTGAGGAACAAAAAAAAAACGTGAAGAGAATTATGGATTTAAGAAGTGGAAAGCAGATTGGAGAAAACGACAGTGAAGAAATATCAGAACAGGAAAGTATGGGAGAACAAGAAACTCATAGTGGAGGAAGTGACGTAGGAATAAAAAGTATGTTGGAGGAAATGATGAGGACGATAATGGAGGACAGAAAAAANTCAAAACCACGTTAATCAGGCGGTAATCGCGGATAGATGCTCCGATTAAATTTAACTACGGACACGCCCACTTTAACTCCTGGTTAATGGTTGACAGTGTTTGAAAGTAACCGAAACGAAGGGTTAAAGTTTAACCGAGGTTTATATTTATCTAATCTAGACTGAAAGTACCGGCCCTTAGAGACACATAAATAGAGAAGACGAAAAAAGAGAAATGAAAAATATTTATTGAAAACTAAAATAGTATTAAATATAAGAAACTACAAATTAAGGTGACAGTAGTTGTCAAAATTAAAGGCAAATCTACATGACATGAGACAAAACCCGGATTTAGGCAAAAGATAAATAAATGATAGTAACAGTTAAAAGTTAAAAAAAGAAAAAAAAAGAACATTATTGTTAGTTTAAGAAATTTTGTAAATAGGAAGAATTAGGTGGCGTTCCGTTCCGTTCTTGGTTTTTACGGTTTCTTCCGATTCCTGAAATTTGGTTAGGTTATGAAACGCGGTTCCTGAAGAAATCGGTAACAACTGTCAACCAGAACTACCGATCTAGTTGGAATTGGTAATTGCGGTTTCTTTTGATATTTTGACATTTTTGACAATATTTTGTGGTTATGATCACATGGGATACATGGATACATAAACAAAAAATACATATAAGAGGTAAACAGGAGCGTTTTTTTGTAAACTGCCTTCAAATGGAACACGAGGTAAATATTACTTATTATGTGTAATGGTTGTTTATTTTAAATATATTTTTTTAGGACAATATTTTAACTTGCAGTATTTGCAACATTATAATTGGAAACTTAAGAGATTTTGGAAAATGGTTTACTAGAAACTCACATCTGTTTTAAATACTACAATAATATAGCTATTGATTTTGAAAGAAATGTAGCTTATCCAGAAGGCTATAATGATAAAGTCCAAAATCAAAAATTGTACCCAGAAAAGAATACAGAGCAAAGTTTGACACCAATAAAATTGGGGCGAAAGTCTTTAACAGAAAATACAAACTCTCATGGCCAAGAGGTTTGGACCAGTAACAAAATTAAATTGCTTATAAGCAACATAGAGAGAAATTCTATTCACCAATATATAACAAAAAAAAAGTGTGGGGAAGTATAAGCGAAACATTATTACAAAAGAAAACTGGAAATAGGCCTGTATATTGGGAGTTTTTTGAGGATTTTAATGACATTTATGCAAAGGATTCCCGTTATGAGCCACTGGCAACAGCGAGCTCTAGTGGCATTTTCAGAAAAAGAAGTCTTGTAACAGACTCTGATGATTCCGTTGACAATGCAGAGGTAAAATAAAAAAAAATGTAAAAAGAATATTTTAAGCCCTAGAGAACGGGAAGAAAATAAACAAAGAAGACATAACGAAAACATGCGATTTAAGCAGGAGCTGTTTGAGTGGTTAAAAGAAAATGTTTCTTCAGAAAAAAATAAACTATACTGGGTATCTCACCAGAAATAACTGCATCAATTGTAATTTGGGAAAATATTGAACTTAAATACATATTTGAACATTTTGCAACGTGGCTAAAGTCTGGCGTGAATACAACTAAAATATCTAGAAATCTTCAGTAACTCTGGTGATACTGGAACTTGATTGTTTTAAATGGGACATCCTGTGTATTATTGTACTTTTCAATTCTACGGAAAATTTTAGTCGCTTTCTATAATATTCCTTATAGGGGGATATTAATAAATTAATATTGTAAAATCGATAACTCCTGGCTATATGGAAAATGTTACATAAAGTGATTCTAAAATTTTCCATAGAATAATTTAAATTTAACCATTTAAAAATCACAACATTGGTGTCGACTTTCAGTATAACCGGAAGTGCCGAAGAGTTCTATATATTTTAGTTGTGTTCGCCCCATGGACTTTGTGATGTTACCAAATATTCAAATATTTCAGATCTCTATTTTCCTAGATGTCAATTGACACAGTTATCTTACATTTAAGAATGTGATCATTTTTTTTCTACCCATTTGTTTTTTCTTGTTAGGTTTAATACTGGTCATAGTGCAATCCCACGTTTATTTCTAACAAGAATAATGTTCTTTCCTTTTCCTTAACCATTGAAAAATGTTATGAGGGCACAATAATATTAGTTTTATATAAATGTAAAATATACAGTGCGTCCCCAGATAGGTGAAACGACTCTTGTAAATGACAAGAAATTTTAGATTTGAAATATGGCCTTCTAGTATTGAGCACTGCTTATTTATTTATTTATAAACAAAATTTGCCATGTTTTTCATTTTGATGTTTTTCTATCATCAACTCAAAGTAGGCTAGATATTGAAATTTTGTAGGCTTACTCAGTTCTCCATTACGAACATTTTTTCTTAGTAACATTTTGATGTATATCATACAGAACGGCGTTTTGGTACCGATACAAATCTTAAATCGGTAAAAAGTCAAAGAAGACCTATGGCTCTCAAATTTTGTATACACTCACTTTCTTATTCTGTGAAACTTTTCTTAATAAAAATTTTGCCATATCTCTTAAAAATGCCACTTTACTAGAGTAGAAATCAGATTTTTCTATTCGATTTTACGAATTTGAAAACATGGCATATTTTCAAAAAATAGGGGAGCTGAATCCCAGAAGGGTATATTTCAAACCTAAAATTTTATATCATTTAGAAGAGTGGTTTCACCTATACGGGGACACACTATATGCATATAAAAATTATTTGTTTTTGTATCTTTCTGAGTATTAAAATGTTGTTTTATTAAATGCTTATTTATTACCTACATAATCTGCATAAAAAATTAAAACTAACAATCTCAAATTGAAAAATTTTATTCCTTGTTAAACAACTACAAAATATTATTAATAATCACATATCCACATTAATGCACATATTTGATTCCTTTTTTGTTCTCCTTGTATTGGTCTTAAAACTCCATTGAATCTAATGAAACCTTGGTCTAATCATTGATATCGACTTCAATGTCTTGTAAATTATCATTGTGCATAATACAGATATTGTTCAACACTGCACATGCCACAATGTATTTAGGCGCCCAATCCAGTCTTTGCATATCTAAATATTTTAGGCATCGACATCGTTGTTTTAGTAAAGCCAAACTTCTTTCAACATTGCTTCGTACTTTTGACAATTTGTAGTTATAATTTCTTTGCCGCAAAGTCATATGCCCATTATCACGATAAGGTGTCATGATTTGAGGGAAACAAGGGTATGCGCTATCGCCTACCAGATGGCTATTTTCTGATGAATGATCCACATCTCTTGTGGATCATTCATCATTTTCTGATATAGGTCACTATTCTTAAATATCCTAGCATCATGTGAGGGACCAGGTTCACCAGCATATACGTGAGTAAATTTTAATTTGTGATCACATACTACCTAAAATAAAATATTGTGCATTTGATTGTTTTATTAATGTGATAATATTTTGAAAATTATGTTGTCATTATGAATTATTGTGTTATAAAAATTATATTATGTTATGATATGCATACATTGTAATAAGTTATATAAATAATAATTATAGAAAAAGTAATATTAATGCAACATACTTGTAAGACCAAACTAGAAAATCCCTTTCTATTTATATACGACTGCCCATGCTCTTTTGGTAATGGAATAGAAATATGACATCCATCAATACAGCCGATTGTATCTGGAAAATCCTGGCGAAGGAATTCTTCTTTTATTTCATTAGCATATTCACCATTGGGCCATTTAATAAATGTCGGTCCCAATTCAAATAAAGCTTTAACAATTCTTCTTGTTGCTCTTAAACCTGTAGCCTTACCCAAGTCGAAACGTCCACAAACAGATCTATAAAAAATATTGACAATGTTTCACATATTTTTATTTTTTTGACAGTCGAAAAATTTGTGTATAATAATATTTTTTTAATAATCTTGAAATAATCTAGAGTATTTTTTACCCATACCTGTAAGAATCAGGAGTACCTAAATACCAGAGAGCCATTAACAGTTGTGTTTTAGATGGCACAGTAGGGCGACCATTCTCTACTGTCTTTGATGAAATTTAATTTTTTATTATTTCAAGAACAACATTGAATGTGCCTTGATTCAATCGAAAATTTTGTTGAAACTCAACTTCGGTATATCTGGCCACAGCATCTTCTATCTATATATTGCTCCACACGGGGTCATTTTTCTATAAAAATGAAGTAAATGTTATTTAAAATGATGTCACAGGTACTGTTGGGTTATTGCGCATGACAGCCAGGCCCCCCCTCTCAAGGAGGAAGGGAGAGAAGCGCGGACAGTAGTATTATGTTGTCTAGCACGTAAATATGTAAAAGGTTGAGTCACTTGTTACGTTCTAATGTAATGTACAACTTATAGGAAGTTAATAAATAGTGAACTATGCAATTGTGCTTAATTTCATTGGATTGTTTTGCGACAAGAGAAAAATCATTAGTGGGGAGCATTGTAATAAAAAAAAACAAAATACAGTCCACACCCGAAGGCACCCCACAAGTACTATATCTTAAGATTTACAGATTGTAAACGACATAACCGTAACACACATGCACTAGAATATTATTTGTGTAGGCAGACACAAAGAAAAGTACCCACTAGACTGGGGCGAGTTTAGGGTTAATTCTAGTGTCTGTAATAAAAAAAATGTTAAAAAATATCTAAAGGGCCTTTTACTTCTTCATCTTCACTGTTTGAACTGGAACTATCATCCAGTAGTAATTCATAAAATAGGCGAGCAGCATTCGCGTAATATCCATTTTATAAGTTACAAGACAAAACAAAGCTGCTGGTCATTCAAAAACACAATAATATTAGAACTAAAGAAATAATTCTAAAATAGGTTATACTGGTTATACGTATAACCTCAAATCCAATCTTCAACAAACACTGTCCAGCGAAGCGAACCAAAGCGTTTCTAAATAACCGCTTTTTACAGTAACCAAACTGTAACCGAATTCAAACCACTCTGTTACCCACCGGTTATCCTGATTAACTTACGGAACGCCGCCTTAGATAAGAAGTGAGTGGAAGAAACAGAAACACAAAGTGAAAGAGAATGAGTGAAGGTGACATAAGTACTATTCATGTGGACGGACCTTAAAAGAACTTCATACGGAAAAGCAGCCCATGTAAAAAAAGAAAAAAAAAGGCCGGTTACGATGAAAGCAGCCAACAAATAAGATCCAGAGAGACTCCATGAGAAATTTTGACAAAAGCTAGAAAAAAGGAAATTATTGAAGAATATATAGCAAGAATACATCGAGAAAGACATACCTGAAGTCCAAGGACCAAAAGACATCGTGGGAAAGAAAAATCTACCCAAATTCATCACAAGGTACAACGTGGAAAGAATTTCAAGCCAAAACTTCATCCCCACACCAACAGAACGGAGGGAAAACCTACGAAAAACTAGGATATAAGTGAGAAATAAAAAAGGTTCATTATAAACATTAATTAAAGTAATATGAATTCATATTTTCAAGGTAAAATATAACAAAATCAGATCTGAACGACTTAAAGCAAATACGTACCGTAAAGAGAGCTCATATAAACTCATTCCACTTATAGATAGAATTAAAATTGTGTTCAATTGCATCATTTAGAATAGAACAGTGTATTTATTTTCTTAGGTTAAGATTTTGCAGTAGATAATGCAGGAAAATATTCCTTTTTCAAGCATAGATCTGTAAAGATGAGTGAAAGTGAGGCCATCTATATTGTGGAGGCGTAAGTTAAAAAAAAATGTAGTCTAAAAAGTATTTCTATAAAATATTTGATAACTTTATAAGTCAGCAACCAGGTTTACATTTCCACAGTACTAGAATGTTTCAGATAATAAAACGTTTATAGATGATGAAATTCAAATATCAAGGTAACTGTGACAATCATTTAATGTGTAAAAAGGGAAAGGTTTTTCATTTTTAATTCTTGAGTTTGCATAAAAATAAATGTTAACCAATTGTATGCAACGGTTTTTTTTTGGGAGTTTGAACCGACACTGAGATAAAGAGAAACTTGTGCCCAACCTGAGAATTAGCCGAGATAGAAAAGTAAAATAAAAGTAAGTGTAACAAATTCGAGTCGAAAGGAGCAAATCAAAATTAAAGTCAAAATTTAATAATCTTCCAAATTAACAGCATATAACAATAATGGCGACCAACGTAAAGGCTCTGTATAAACCCCAGAAATAAGTAAAAGGTTCAACAAAGAAGAAACAAGATTTAAAAAGAAGAACACACAAAACAAGAAAATGGATCTAAGAAGCGGAAAACAAGTGGGAGAAGAATCTGAAGAAGAAAGCAGGACGGAAGAACAGATCAGCGAAACAAGCAGAGAAGCGACGACATGGCAAGACATGATGAGAGAGATGATGGCAACTATCAAAGAAGGAAGAAAGGAGGACATGCAGAGATTGGAGGAATTACGAAAGGAAGACGTGCAAACGATCAAAGAAGGGCGCAAAGAAGACATGAAAACAATCATAACACTACTAGACAAAAAAGTAGAGAAAATAAAAGAAGAAATAAGAAGAGAATGTTTAGTATGGAAAGAAGAATTACAGAAAGACTTGAAGAAAGCGGAAGAAAAGATAGAGACAATAGAAAAGAGAACGGCAGACACTGAACAAAACATAATACAACAGGACAGACAAATACAAGTGGTGGAAAGAAAAACAAACAAGAATACGCAGGACATACAACAGGAAGTCAACATAGGTATCAATTACAACAGAGAAGAATGGGAAAGCACAAGAAACAACACAACAGAACAGATTGAAGAGATGAAGAATGAGTTGAAAAGAATAAGAGAAGCGGGAACATCGACAAGAATGGTATGCCAAGGAGAAAGCAAAATACACAAATTTAATGGGAGGATAAACAAACTACATCCGGAAGTATTCCTGAAATCGATAAAGAAGAGTACTAGACATCTAATGGAAATGGAGGAAATAAAGGAAGTAATTAGGGAAAATATGGAAGCAGAGGCATTGGTATGGTTCAACGGAGTGGAAAATGAACTAACAAACATGGAACAATTTGAACGACGATTCATTGAACATTTTTGGGGTGAAATAGCACAGTCAATTATAGGGGAAAAATTATATTTTGGCAAATTTAATGACAAACTATCGAATAGTTATACGAACTATACATTACAATTATTTTCTACGGCACAGTATTTAACGCCAAAAATGTCTGAAACTGAAATTGTGTCATATATCTCAAGACAGTTCAAACCAGAAATAGCGGAAACAATTGCTATACAAAATGTTAAGACAATGGAACAATTATACAATTATTTAAAAAGAATAGAAACATGACAAGAAATTTTCAAAATTCAAGTAATTCATATGAAAACAATAGCTATAGATATAATCAAAATAATAATAGATATCAAACATTTAATTCTAGAAATTCAAACAATTTTCGGCATAATAATAATTCAAATAACAATAATTTTAGAAACGATAATGAACTAAGACGATGGCAAAACAATGATACGAATAATACTAGACTTTCTCAAAATAATCGAAACTATAATTACAATAATTCAAAAAATTATAATCGAAATTATTATGATAATAGAAATTTTAGACAATAATAATGCAAATGCTAACAACAATTATTACAATCGCAACTACAGGACCGATAACACAAACTCATACAATAATAACAATTATCAACGAAACACAATATAACAGATACAATGCAAACGACAATAACAATTATAATCAGGACCGTACACAAAATACTAGGAGGCAGGTAAATTTTCAGCAGGTGAGACGGGAAACCAGGTCTGCAGGACGAGAGTCAGTACAGGACGCAGTACAAAGCAGGAGAGAGACGGTATCAGTAGATAGAGATCCTCCATACAGACCTGAAAACGACACACATGATCAACGACAAAATTTTCACTAATGTGCAAGTCAAACACCGAACACGACAACACTTGTAACTATGAACATCCCCGAGAATTAATAAAACTTGATGAAAACATTATCATAAATGAATATAATAAATTAATTTACATAGCAGCTAAATTTCAAAATAATAATTTAAAAATATTAATAGATACAGGTTCCGAAGCGTCATTAGTAAGTCAAAATTTAATAGATAAATTTCCAAAACTTCTAAACCGAGGGTAAGGGTTACGTGGAGTTTCTCCCACGTAAAATATAGGGAAACTGGCGCCCGAGATTAAACCGAATATATAAATTACTAACTAATTTTACCGTTTAGAGTCCAGTCCGAGGAATAGAAGACCTTTCCGAAAAATTAAATTACAGGGGATGCACACACCATAGTTAAAAGTAATAAAAATTAACACCGACCGATCCATAGAGAGAGAACCGATGATAAGTGCGTCACAAAATTTGGCGCCCGAGTAGAGACCGTAGTTTTCTTTTAGACCGTTGTTTACTGTTGTTTAATAACTAGTAAATTAAAGAGTTTGTATCTGTTTTACATATACAGGGTGTTATTTTTCCGCAATCCAGAATCAAGGAAAATGATGTTTTCTTTTTCAAAGTAAACCGAATTAAAGCAGAGTAGTTTTCTCGTTTATTAATAACAGGATAATAATAATTCTGAACCGATAACACCTAGAGTAATAAAAAACCGAAAAGTGTCAATTCTACCCAATTTGGTTTAAACCTGTTCCGAAAGTACTAAGCTAGCAATAATAACTTGACTGTATAAAGTTAGAGACAAAAACCCAATTTTGACTATCCCCGATTTGCCAAAAGGATTTGCCACCGCTAACCGGAAATTGCCGATTTTTGCCGAGTTTACCCGAAGCTTTCCTGAATACCGTGGGGGCATATAGGGCGTCATTTTCATAGTTTTCGAGGGTAAATAATCGATTGCCACCAGTTCCGAACCGATCCGAGATATAACCGATAAATCACTAGAAAAAGGGATTTATAGTAAACCTGACCATTATTTCATACCCAGAGTGCAAATAGAACACGTACACTGGTTTTGACATTTTACCCGGAT